TGTGGTGTGTGTGTGTGGTGTGTGTGTATGTGTGTGTGTGTGTGTGTGTGTGTGTGTGTGTGTGTGTGTGTGTGTGTGTGCGTGCGCGTGCTCAAGTGCTCAATCTAAACACTTCTAGATACTAGAAATGCAAGCTTCATCAAAGGAAAACATCAGGACAATCAACAATTTTGTATACTTAGGGAACTTACTCTTGCTACTATCAAACATGAATAATCTTCGACTCGATTTATCGTCATGGTTTTCCCCTTATATACTCCTCTTTACTTATATAAAGAAAGAAATTCTGACGACAAACATCAGAAATACGAAAAAAACAAGATACACAATTGTGAGCTACACCATTTGCCCAGAAGCACAGCGATCATCCCAAACCGCTTATATAAACAATTATAAAAGCACATAAACATAAACTATTATATACATCAACATTTCCACGCCCATCCCCCTTTTTCATACATTCTTTATAGTCTTATATTCTTTATATTTTCACATCCTTTGCTCCTTGTCACTCGTTCGTCATTTGTCAAACGAGCGAGGTTCCAATTGGTACTTTCATGATGTTGTTGTCCCATCAAGGTACCATTTGCTTGTCCCACGTGTTGACGCCACACTTATATTGCTTGAACTGGTCGTTATAGTGGATCCACTTGTTGCTGACTGGAAATTAAAGGCCAATTGATTAGTTCGCCTCGTTGATGGTGATTCTCCAGGCTAAAAAGGTACTGATGGTGTCGAGACCAAGAAACAAAGAAGGATTGTTTTATGCACTAAACTAAAGGATTCTGTGCTCTGTAAATTTTCGAGAGAAAATGGAAAAAACAGTCAGGATTGTTTTCTATTGAACCATTACTGTGGAATTAAATAGTGAAATGTATTTTAAACTAATAATTCAACTCTTCATTTCTGAGCTTGTACTTATACACTCATTCTCTCTCTCTCTCCTCTCTCTCTCTCTCTCTCTCTCTCTCTCTCTCTCTCTCTCTCTTCTCTCTCTCTCTCTCTCTCTCTTCTCTCTCTCTTCTCTCTCTCTTCTCTTCTTTCTTTCTCACTTCTAACTCATCTCTCTCTCTCTCTTCTCTTTATATAATTATATATATATATATATATATATATATATATATATATATATATATATATATATATATATATATATATTATATATATATATATATATGTATATGTGTGTGTGTGTGTGTGTGTGTGTGTGTATATGTATATGCACACAAACACACAAATATAAACACACACACAGACTCCCCCCACCCCTCTCCTCCCTTCCCCCTCCACTCACTCCCCTTCGCCCCTCCACTCACTCCCCTTCCCCCCTCCACTCACTCCCCTTCGCCCCTCCACTCACTCCACTTCGAGCCGTGCAGAACCGGACAGGCCCCGTGGCGCGTGTTCTCGTCGCCGGCGCCCGAGCGGTAAAGGTTCCACCAGAAGGCCGCTGATCCTCGCTTCGGCCAGATGGTGACGCCCGCCCGAGGGAACACCGTCGCGCCGCCCGCCTCCACGTCCGAGAGCTGTGGGCGGGGGGCGGGGTGGTGAGCGATAAGAGGGGGGTGTGGATGTCGGTTAGTTGTTAGTGTTGTTATCATTGCCATTGCTATCATTACCTGTGTCATGATGATTATGATAATCATTTGCGACTATGATAATCATAATAATAATAATTATTATTATCACTATGATTATTACTTTTATTTCATTATCATTATTATCACTACTATCATTATTATTATTATTATCATTTCTCATCATAATTATTTTTAGTAACAATTTATGATTATTATCATTATCATAATTTTAATTATTATCACCAATGTCATTATCATTGTCGTTATTATTATTTTTTTTATTATTAATATCATCATTATTATCATTTCATCCATATATTATCCATTTATCTAGTCACATATCTATTCACTTATCCAGCATTTACTATTCGTACGTTCGTGTGTAACGCTCCCGTTTATCCTGAAATGTGCATGAATCACACAGACAGACAGACAGACAAGACAGACTCACGTAGACCATGAAGGTTGCAAAGCGGTCGCCCATGAAGTGTTCCCAGGGCGTGTAAGCCCGGGGGTCGGGGTTGATCATGAGGTAGTCTGTGTGGGTCACGTAGAGGCCCCCGATGCCGTAGTTCGCGACCTGAGGGAGAGGGGAAACGGGGCGGTTAAGGGAGGGGAGAGGGAGGGAGAGGAAGAGGGAGGGGAGAGGGGAGGGGAGAGGAAAGAGGAGGAATGAGAGCGGGAGATGGGGGAGAGGCGAGGGAGAGGAAGAGGAGGAATGAGAGGGAGGGGAGAGGAGGGAGAGGCGAGAAATGGACGGTTAAGGGAGGAAGAGGAATGAACGGGGGAACGAGGGGGAGGGATAATGAGGGAAGGAGGGGAGATGGAGGGAGAGGAGAAATGAGACGGTTAAGGGAGGGAGAGGATGGAGAGAGGGAGAGATTAGAGGGGAGAGGGAGAGGAATGAGAAGGTTAATGAGAGGGGAGATGGGAGAGGCGAGAGGAGAAATGAGACGGGTTAAGGGAGAGGAAGAGGAGAATGAAGAGGGGAGATGGGGAGAGGGAGAGGAGAAATGAGACGGTTAAGGGAGGGGAGATGGAGGGAGAGGAGAGGTTGATTGGAGGACGGAAGGGAGGGAAGGGAGAGGGAAGAGAGGAATGAGAGAGATGGGACTGAGTGAGGGAAGATGAGGACGGTTAAGGGAGGGGAGGGGAGGAGAGGAGGAGGAATGAGAGGGGATGAGAGAGGGAGAGGGAAAGAGGCGGAAGGGAGGGAGATGGAGGAGAGGGGGGACGCCGGTTAAGGGAGGGGAGAGGAGGGAGAGGAAGAGGAGGAATAGAGGGGAGATGGGAGAGGAGAGAGGAGAAATGAGGACGATTAAGGGAGAGGAAGAGGAGGAATGAGGAGCGGCTGGAGGGGAGAGGAAGAGGAGAAATAGACGGTTGACGGTGAGGGAGGGAGATGGAGGGAGGAGAAAGGAGAGCGAGAGAGGGAAAATGAGACGGTTAGGGAGGCGAGAGGGGAGGGAGGGAGAGGAACGAGGAAAATAGAGGGATGGAGGGAGGGAGAGAGCGGAAGGGGGATGAAGACGAGGGAGGGAGAGAGAAATGAGACGGTTAAGGGGAGGGGAGAGGGGAGGAGACAGGAGGGGAGAGGAGAAGGAAGCGAGAAATGAGGGAGAGAGGGAGAGGAGAAATGAAGAAGGGTGGGAGAGGAGAGGACAGGAAGATAGAAGGAAGGGGAGGGAAGGCAGGGAGGAGGGAGAAGAGTAGAGGAGTGAAAGGGATAGGGAAATAGAAAGGAAAGGAAGAAGAAAAGAAAAAGAAGAGAGAGAGAGAGACAGGGAGGAGGAGATATCAGACAGAGAGAGAGAAAGACAGACAGACAGACAGAGAGAAAGACAGACAGACAGATAAAAGAGAAAGAAGACAGACAGAGAGTGAGAGAGACCACACCCAACCAATCAAACAGAAACAGAACAACCAAACCAAACAAAAAAAAAATCGTGACATAAACAGACTCAGACAGACAGAGGATCCCACACAGCCAGCCAGCCAGAACAACATACCTGGTAGTCCTCTCCTGCCGAAGACTCCAAGGCGTGAAGACCCGTTGCGAACTCTATCTTCCTCGTCATATTCACCAGGAGTTTCTTGCGGTCGTCCACACTCTCCCGCAGCCAAGCTCTGTCGGAGGAGGAGTAAATAGATGAGGTGCACACGGGAGAAGAGGGATAAAAAATGATGAGTACATGGAAATAGGGGAAGAAATGAGCAATAAAAGGGCATATGGAGAAAAAATGGAAGAGGGAAAGGAAAGAGTAAAAGGGCATATGGAATTAAAAAAAATGATATGATGTAAAAAAGGGAGAAGAAAAAAAAAAAAAGACATATGGAAAATGATATGTATGGAAAAGGGGTGGGGGGAAAAGAGCAAAAAAAGGCATATGGAAGAGGGGAATAATACATCATGGAAAAAAGGGGGAATAAAATGAACAATAAAAAGGAATATGGAAGATGAATGGAAAAAGGTGTGTCATGGAAAAAATGAGGAAGAGAGAAGAGAGAGAGGAGAGAGAGGAGAGAGAAGAGAGAGAGAGAGAGAGAGGAGAGAGAGAGAGAGAGAGAGAGAGAGAGAGAGAGAGAGAGAGAGAGAGAGAGAGAGAGAGAGAGAGAGAGAGAGAAAGAGGAAAAGAGAACGAAGGAGGGAGGAAGAGAGAGTGAAGGAAGGGAAGGAAACCATGCACTATCACAGAACAAAGAAACCATTTAACTTACGTGCTAGAAGTTCGTACCATACTGCTTATGAAGTTACCTCCAGGCCCTCTGTGTCTGGACGTTGTCAGCTAAAGGAGTGAATTACATTTTGTAATATATGACGAGAATTTATGCCGAAAACCTTCTTATAACCCACTTGATCATAAAAGTGGGTTATAGAATGGTGTTATTCCACAACATGAACTCTCACCATGTTTTCCACATACTCATCCACAAAAAAATAAACAAATGGAATAAATAGATGAGTAAATAGATATAGATAAAGCTTACCCTCGGCTTGGCAATACCCTTGATGGCTTCTGTCTGGGCCTCGGTAAGGAAGTCACGAAACACGACGATGTAGGGGTCGAGTGACATCTCCTCGAGGCGTAGAGGCATCAGCGTCAGGTAGGAGGCCCCGGCGGTCACGTGACGGCAGGTAAGCCTCGATTCCATCTCGGGAGTCTGAGGAGGAGATGGGCGGTTAGGATGCTGCTGGAGGATGCTGTGTTGTGGTCTTTTTGGGATGAGGTCTGTGTTGTCTGTTTTTTTTTTTTGTCTGTCTGTGCGTGTTTGTCTGTTTTTGATCGGATCTGTTATGAACACGACATATACCCACACACAAGGACACTAAAGGATACAGACAGAACACCAGCACAACACCACACACAACACAACACACAACACAACACAACACACACAGCACACACACACACACACAACACACACTCACTCACTCACATACACGCGTACGGTATCAATTTGTTTATCAGTGTGCATGTTTGCATTAGTCTACCGTGCCTGGGTATATTTCTATTGGTCTGCCCGTGTGGTGGTCTAGCCAAGGGGAGTGTATTTCAGTGTGCCAACGGAGCAATTTTACATAGGTAGTAGGATATTCCAGCTAGCGTGCAAGTAGGACAAGAATAATTTCGATAAATATGAAATTGATGTTTGAGAGTGTTCACGAACTCTGATTTGGTATAACATCTATGCGTATTTGTACGTGTCATTCGGTCAATGGTTTCAAAACAAACTAAATAGATTCCGCTTGCTTAGAAGCCAGTTTATTTTGTCACGTTTTACTAGAGTAAAGCACGAGATGAGGGGCGAGAGAAGATGAAAATTTTTGTTGGAGATGGCAAGGTAATAACGTGCATATAAATGTATTTTGATTTCGAAGGAACTAAGTTGAGTATTATCTGGTCTCTCTATCGTCTTTACATCTTTTGCCTTCCTGCCCATTCAAGGTGTACGTCCATTCTCCACACTCCGTGACTCTCACATCTCTTCTCTACTCTCATCTCCTCTCCTCTCTCTCTCTCCTCGTCTCGTCCGGTGTGTGGATACGAGGTGTGTCTCGCTAGAAGATCTTCGATGTGTTTTTTAGTTAGCTCATGGTGATGAGTATCTTTATCTGGGAAGTTTAGATCATCCAGAGGCAACCATACGTCAGTTTGCCAGCAGGAAATGATACAGTGGAAGTGCGTAGTTAAAGCCCGACTTTTTAGGGGAACGTGGAGCTGCCTGGGCTGCAATGATCAGGAGGGCGCCTTGCAGGGGGCTTGTGACGGATCTCAAGTGAGGAGACGATCCCTGGGGGGGTGATGATGTCAGTAAAGATCAAGCTCTCTCTCTCCTTCTCTCTCTTCATCTCTCTCTTCTGCTCTCTCTTCCTCTCTTGCTCCATTCCCCTGTCTTTCCTCCTTTCTCTATTTCTCCCTCTCTGCCTCCCATCTTCATCATTCATGCACATAACCTTTCATTCATCAATGTTTCTCTTCCTCCTCTCTTATTCGTTCGCTGCCTACTCTGTCGATTCGTCTCGTTACACTCTCTATGTTTTCCCTGAGCTGGGGCTCTCCTCCGTACCACCAGTACAGAATCTCTGCGTCCTCTCGACAGGCGGTGCGTAACCTTTTCCTAAGCTCTCTCGCGTAGACACGCTGTTGTAGTGTTCCTCTCCTCCTCGTGCTCTGTCTGCTGGTAGGGCAATTTGGGGACGAAGACCTGCGTTGCGTCGAGGTAACTTGGGTTTGCTGGCGAGGGTCTTGTCGACGGGCAGGGCCTTCGTCTGCCAGTCTGTGCCCCGCGGCCCTCGCTTCTCCAGGACGTCGTCGTGCTGTTTAAGGTAGTGAGGAAAGTGTGAGGTAGGTTTATGAGTTGGCATGATTATGTTTTAGGAGAAAATGGCTTTAATTTGCATTTCTCGAACACCGCTACCTTTCTCTCGTATGCTAATGCTTGTCTTCCTCATATATCATATATTATTATGTCTACATTACTATCCAACATTTATTAACGTTTTAATAATAACACTTTACCTTTCTTGTATAATCCATCTCTTTTTCAAAATATAAACTACAATGGGTAATGAATATCCCACCATTCTTTGTGTGGGAATATCCATCTTCTAAACGTACAACACACAAAAAAACATACATACATTTCATGCCCCACTTACCCATCACTTACCTATCTTTTACCACAGAATTATAGAAAAAAAACGAAGGATAATTATTTCCTCTCGACGACAAGAGATCCTGTGCCTTACCACCTTAATGGCCGCCTGCAGGAACGGCTCGATCTCATCCTTGGGCGCCGTCAGGACCTCCTCGCTGCCGGACCTCTCCAGGGCCGCCTCGAACCACTCGATGGCCTTGTCGTAGTAACCCTTGTTGAAGGCGTGCTTGCCCAGGAACAGGCAGTCGCGGGCATTCAGAGGCTTCGAACTCTGGAGGTCTTTCACGAGGAGAAAGCAAGATCAGAAAAAAGTGAAAAAAAAAGGGCGTTGGAGGGGCTTTGCTTTTAAATCTTATTTCCATCTCAAATATCTTTTATCCCTTATCAGAATCACAACCATGCCTATCTAATAGGCACCAAAACGTCTTAAAAACGAATATGAGAGAGAGAGAGAGAGAGAGAGAGAGAAGAAGGAGAGAGAGAGAGAGAGAGAGAGAGAAAGAAAAGAGAAGAGAAAGAGAAAGAGAAGAGAGAGAGAGAGAGAGAGAGAGAGGAGAGAGAGGAGAGAAAAGAGGATAATAAAAAATCAAGATAGATAGATAGATACAGAGCGAAACCCCAGTGATTCACCCCCTCCTGCACTGACCTCCAAGATGCATAGCCGCCACGGGGGTCACGGGCGCGAGGGTGCCTGAGGAGAGCGAGGTCATGTTGAGGCGGTAGGTGTCCTGCAACCTGACCAGGGACGCGCCCCGCAGGTCTCATCACGGGAAGGACGTCCGCTCAACGAAACGCCACGACGCGGTGGACCAACTCTGCGGAGGAGAGGGAGAAGAGGGATGAGAGGGAGAAGAGGGATGAGAGGAGAGAGAAGATGTAAGGAGAGAGAGGGATGAGAGGGAGAAAGGGGAGAGGGAGAGAGGATGAGAGGGATGTAAGGATAGAGTGGGTTGAGAGGGATGAGAGGGAGAAAGAAGATGAGAGGGAGTGAGAGGATGAGTGGGATGTAAGGATAGAGTGGGATGAGAGGGAGAAAGATGAGAGTGAGGGGAGGGGTGAGAGGGAGAGAGGGAGAGAGGATGTAGGGAGGAGTGGGTTGAGAGGGATGAGAGGGAGAGAGACGAGAGGGGAGTGAGAGGATGAGAGGGATGTAAGGATAGAGTAGGTTGAGAGGAATGAGAGGGAGAAAGAGGATGAGAGGGATGTAAGGATAGAATGGGTTGAGAGGGATGAGAGGAGAGGGAAGAGGGAGATAGAGGTGTAAGGAATGAGAGGGACAAAGGGGTGAGAGGGAGAGAGAGGATGAGAGGGATGTAAGGATAGAATGGGTTGAGAGGGATGAGAGGGAGAGGGAGGAAGGGAGAGAGAAGAGGAGAGGGATGTAGGGATAGAATGGGAGAGAGGGATGAGAGGAGAGAGAGGAAGTGAGAGGGATGTAAGGATTGAGTAGTTGAGAGGAATGAGAGGGAGAAAGGGATGAGAGGGGGAGAGAGAGATAAGGAGTAGGATGGAGTGGGTTGAGAGGGATGTGAGCGAGGAGAGGTGAGAGGGAAAAGAGGATGAGAGGGATGTAAGGATAGAATGGGTTGAGGGATGAGAGGAGAGGGAGAGAGGATGAGGGATGTAAGGTGGATTGAGAGGATGAGAGGGAGAGAGAGGAAGAAGGAGAGAGAGGATGAGAGGGATTATGGATAGAAGGAGAATGAGAGAGGGATGTAAAGATGGAGTGGGTTGAGAGGGATGTGAGCGAGAGAGAGGGAGAGAAAGTATAAGAGGGAGGGAGAGAATGGGAGAGAGAGAGAGGATGAAAGGGAGAGAGAGGATAGGAGGACTGGAAAGGGATGAGAAGGATTGATTAGGGAGGGAGAGGTTAGAGAGAGAGAGGGGGGGTAACTGGCTCCATCAACAGATAGATAGAGAAAAGGAGAGAGGGAAACACACACACAAACACACACATATATATGTGTGTGTGTGTGTGTGTGTGTGTGTGTGTGTGTGTGTGTGTGTGTGTGTGTGTGTGTGTGTGTGTGTGTGTGTGTGTGTGTGTGTTGTGTGTGTGTGTGTGTGTGTGTGTGTGTGTGTGTGTGTGTGTGTGTGTGTGTGTGTGTGTGTGTGTGTGTGTGTATGTGTGTGTGTGTGTGTGTGTGTGTGTGTGTGTATTGCTAATATATATATATATATATATATATATATATATATATATAATATATATATATATATATATATATAGATATAGATATAGATAGATAGATAGATAGCAAAAGACGTAAACAAAAAGACATCTCATGCGAACTAAAAATTAACTCAATAGCCCTTGTTAATGTGGTTGAGAGACGGAGAGAAATGGACATTAATCAGCTGATGAGCTTTCTCCTCTCACCTTCTGTTTACATTCTCTCCATGTTATGATTTCCTATTTAAGTTCTTCCTCTGGCCGTGTGCATCTTGGACTTCTCGATGTGTGAGCGTCTTAGGATTTGTTAATGCGTGTACGTGTGTGTGTATGCGCGTCCATAATTTGGTGTGTACTGTCTTTTTGGTTCTTCTTTGTCAGTTTATTTAATGGTCAGTTTATTTTGTTATTTTTTTCGTCCGCCCTCAGCTTGTGTCGCCATCCCAGCTCCTCATTTGCGGGCGTTCTGTCAACATACTTTCAAGATCTCTTCTACACGCCATTCTAACACGTTGCGAAATCTCGTGTTTATTTTAGAGGAATATAGAGCTTGTATCTCTATCTCTCTCTTTTTTTCTAATGATCTAATTGATGTATTAGAATGTATATATTTCTAAAACAATCTATTTCTTCAGAAAATACTTATGAAAAAAATAATAAATAAAATAAAAAAATACGTAAGTCTACGCTAATCCAACTTGGACGAAAACGGACGGTAGGTAGTTGCGTGTGACGTCACTCATGGGTTTGCAATCGAATTAAGCCTCGTCTGTGTTGCAAATCCCGCTTACACGGACACACACGGAGATCTGAAAGTGTTTCCGCTCTGAGAGGAGGTCAGTTTAGGTGTTTAGAGAGACACTTTTGACGTAACAACTGGGAAAATACGAGCAATCTTTGGCTTTGATTTTAATGGAGGTTGGAATAGCTCTGTGAGATTTATGTTTATTTTCTTGTATCTCCTATTTTTTTTTTCGATTTGATTTAAAGCTGTGGATGTTATTTTGGTTTTGAAAGTAGGATGATTGATGATTTGTTAGGTATATGCCATTCTGTTGTCTTCGTTATTTTCCTCTTTTTCTTTGCTGTTCTTTTTACTCTTACGCCACTCACTTCCCCCTCTCTCTTTTCCTTTTCCTTTTCACCTCTTTCTCTCTCTCCATCTTATTTCCTCTCACCCTCTCTTCTCTCTCTCTCCTTCCTCCCTCCCTCCCTCCTCTCTCCTCCTCCGCTCTCGCTCTTTTTTTCTCTCTTTCTCTCTCTTTCTCCCTGACCTTCTCCCTGTCCCTCTCCTTCTTCCTCTCTCTCTCCCTCTCCCTTTTCCTCTTCCTTCCCCTGTCCGTCCCCCTTCTCCCCCTCCTCTCTCTCTCGTTATTTCTCTCACTCTCTCTTTCTCTTTATCTATCTCCCGCCTGTCTCCCTCCCTCCCGACAGTCCGCCCTTTCTGCATCCCGCCTTTCTCCTCCTCTCTTCCTCTCTCTCCCTTTCTCTCTGAGTTCCTACCACACCCAACCACAAATAAAAGATCTCTCTCTCCCTCCCACCCCCCTCCCACTCTCTCTTCACCCCCACCCCCCCTCTTTGTTCCTATCAGCCCCACCCTTTGCCCACAATTCGAGCAGAAGATACCCGCACTTTTACCCTGGAGAGACAGCGGACGACACACTGGAAAAGGAAATCTAGATTTTCGAAACGTCAGTACCTTGGTGGTCTTTGTTTTTTTGTTGTTGTTGTTGTTTTTGGCCTTCTTCCAAGTACGGATGTCTTGTACTGTTGTTGTTTTTTTCTCACCATTAAATGTGGTTATGTATATGCTGTTGTTTTTGTCGTTTTCTAATATATATTGTTTACACAGTTGGATAAACTAAAACTATTATTTTTATTTTCTTCTCCTTCACATAATATGATGTTTACCTTTGTTTATCGTAATCATAAATATTACTTCATAATATTTTACTTTCACTTATTCTCTTTTTGGTTCATCTTATTCATCCACTATTTGTACACTTCTATATCATTTTATTACTTACTCATTTTTTTTCTCTTTTTTGAATCTGTATGTTCTACTTAACACTCCTTCTCATCTCCCCATTTTTATTACTCTTTTTTTGTGCCGGAGCTTTATCACGTAAAATAATAATAAAAATTTGACTTTATTCTCTTTTTCTGTATTTTTTTATCTCATTAATAAAAATTGATCTACTTAAAAACACTCTCTATTTATCGGCTCTAATTAGAACTCACCTTATTAAAAAAACTGTCGGGTAGCTTTACTAATTATATAGATAATTTTACTTTTTCATTAACATACGAGTCCCTTTTTTGTATAACATGATTTTGTATATCTAATAATCATCCCTTCATCTCCACCGTCTCTAGTTTATTAACACTAATAACCCGGCATAAATTTCCTTTTAACCTATTGCATCTCCCCTAATCCTATCTACTACTCGGCTGCTCTACCTGTGCCACTCTGAGGTGGTCAGTTGTCTAGCCTGGGCGTGATTGCGTCCGCCTAGGTTAACTCGCCCACTACCATCCTGTCAGCTTGCCGCTTCACCCAGCAGGTTCAAGGTCGTCTCCCACTAGGTGATCCACGCGCTCCCACTAGTCAACCGCGCGTCTCCCCCCCTTCCACCTCCTCTATTATCTCCTGAGCCTCTCGCCGCTGGAAGTCCCTGCACTATGCTGCAAGGGGATGCAACGAGGGCGTGTCATGAAAGAGGAGGACGGGGGCAAGGGATGAGAGGCGAGGGGGGAAGAAGGAAGGAAGAGGGAGGGAAGGAAGGATAGCCAGGGAACGGAAGAATGGTGAGAGGAGGAAAGAGAGAGTGGGGTGATTACCCCCCCTCCGCCCCTCGGGTCGAAAACTGTGCGGTGACACTTGGGGGAGGGGGAAGAAGGGAAGAAAGGAAAGGGAGGCGACGGGAAGGAAAGTGACGGGAAGGAAGGCATTGGGGGATGAGGGCAGAGAGGAAATGGCCGGGAAAGGTTGCGGGCATAGAGTGCGTGTGTCATCTGGAACAGAATTTGGTGAATGGGAAGGACGCGGAAGAAGTGAGAGGGAAGAGAGGGAAGAGAGGAAAGGAAGGAAGGAGACGGGAAGGAGAATGGTGAGAGGAGAAAAGAGAGAGGGGATGTGTCATCTGACGGAATGTGGTGATGGGGAGGGGGAGGGAGGGAGGAAGGAAAGAAGAGAAAGAAAGGAAGGAAAGGAAGGATGGCGTGAGGAGGAAGAGAGGAAGGAAAGAAGGAAGGGAAAATTAAGGAAGGTAAGGACGCGAGAAGGAGAAAGAGAGAGTGATGTCTCATCGGGCGCGAACTGCGTGTGAAGGGGGGTTGGGGGGGCATGAGTAAGGGGGGGGGTGATTAATATTGGGAATTATGGGAGAGCTCTCCCGTCGTGGCGGTCGTCTACTCCCTCTGTCTTTCCTCTCTCTTTGTTTCGGAATTTGTCTCCTCGGAGACGCAGATAACGTGACCATAAAGGCGCCACTACACTCACACACACACACACACATATTATATATACAGGTATATATATATATATATATATATATATATATGTATATATATAGCCTCACTTA